AAATTCAAAGTTTAAGAAGTTCTCCGCGATGAATTTATCAGTGTATCGATCTACTTATTTTTTTTTATAAAAGCTGAGAACAATTAATGATTGCAACAAATAACAATAATCACAAAAATATTTAACGTTTTTATATATTTCAAAAAGTTCTCAAAAAAGTCGAAAACAGTAGAAGTGGTTCTATTTCATTTTTCACAGCTGTGTGTCTATACAATCAATTTATTATAATTGTGTGTTAACTTACCATATTCAAATCCTGTTCGAACTTATTGATTGGCCTGAAAATGTATAATATAGTTAATATTTTATAGTAAATATGCGGTTTATATTTGTTTTACTGGATTCAGTTGCTTTAAGAATTTCCATCAAAATTTGATCAGAGACGAAAAATAAAATACATCATTTTGAATATATTTAAGAGCTTAATCGAATATATTACTCACCTATTGAGAGCTGTAGAGGTTGAGTGAGTATAGTTCCTGCAAAGAAAAAAAAACCCTATTCCCTACAAATTCCCAACCACCCCCGCTCCCTACGCCCAAGACGAAATATCCACGAGCAAAGTAGCAAGAGTAGAAGAGCTTTACTTTTCTTTTTGTATATTTATTTGTTGTTTATATTGTGAGACATGCCCGAGCTTGAAGTCATTCACACACAGAAGGCGTCCACTCACTGACCCGCAAATCGAATAATTTAAACAGCTTCTTGTACGGGAGGCTCATAGCCTTCGGGGCGATCAATGACAGCGCCCTCAGCGGAAACAACAGCTTCGGTTGTCTTGCCACCACCATCACCATGGAGCTCCAGAAGCTTGGATATATCGAAGCGAGGCTTCTTGAGTACCTTCACCTTGCGAATGTAGACATCATGTAGTGGATAGATGCGCTGGCAGCTCTTCTCAATATCCTTAGCAATCGAGTCCAAGGCCAGTTTGTTCACCAGCTGCTTCAGATCGGCGCCGCTCACTTCATTGGTAATGATGTCGGTCATGCGGGCCCGAATCTTACGCACCTGCGACTGCTGGGCATAGCAGGTCTTGCGCTGCGACTGCTGATCCTTGAATGTGAATCCAATGCAGAACACACGAAGCAAGTATCCGTCTACGGTCTTTGCCTCCACAATGGCCTCGATGAGAGTCTGCCATTTCTTTACCATTGATCTATGGTTTTTTCAGTGAAACATTTGAATATACAAATGTATATGTATATATATATATATAAATACACTGCGCACAATAGATATTTATATTTCAAAGAAAAAAAATGCTGCACTGAATGCAGTATTGATGAATTATATATATATAAATACATATGTATTTATTCGTCTGTCATACCTGTACTTGTCTGTTGTCAAGTCCATACCATGGAAATTGCAGAGCACATTGCGATCCTGCACATCTTCGGCGATCAGACGAAATTTACGGAATGAACGCTCGGGGTCAATGTCTTTTTGCAAGTCTGCAAGCGAAACTTCAAACACACGACCTTTAAGGTAGTCGGAGGCAATGCGTTGGCCCTGCGTACGGTTCACGAGGGTTTTGCCAATCTGCCTGGTTTGAAACATGTTTGGCGCTTTGACATCGTACCAATCTTTGCGCGAAAATGGATCAACTACCTTCTTTTTACCACCTTTTTTGCCGCCTTTCGAGAGACCCTTATTTTTGCCGACCGCCATGGTAAACTTCTAAACCGGAAAAGGTTGAGCCACGTTGAGTAAACTGTCAAAAGAAAGGAAACCGAGAATAGTGTTGTTAAATCCCACACAGATGCTTCAGAGTTGCTTCGCACACAACTGATATCCGATTATTCTTTTGGATAACTAACTGAAATCACTAACCATAGAACATGGTTAGTGCTAAAATGAAACTGAAAATAGTATTTTATATGTTTAAATTTAATTCGTCAAAATCAATGTATATAAATATATTGTGGAAAATAACAGTTAAGATGTAAAAATTATAAATGCATAGTTATTTCATTTATAAACATTTTTTACTTAATACATGCACTGACCAGTGATACATGATAATATTTTGTAGCAACAATTAGTTTATCGAATATCAACAATCGGTCATTTATCTTTCCGATTCATTTTGTATTGATATACATACGGCGTTTAGATGGATTGTTTGTATTAAAATTTGGTATTTATCAATTTGTACAGATTGGGCACACACTCTCAGTTATTCATTGCATCCATTTTTGTTCTGCTTAGTTCCTTTTTAATTAATTTTACAATGAAATGTTTCTAATTATTTGTGTTGTAAACAATCTTATACAATTCATTGATTATATTCATTGCTAGGAAAAAATATATTATTTAAGTGGCAATCCAGTACAATAATTATGGGTACGGCTTATTGATATTGGGCTTGATTCCTTCACTTCGATGCTATCATTTGGAGCTCACGCATAATTCTTGATCTCAAAATATACTTTACCATATATATATATATATGTGTAAACGTAACAACGAGTGAAATATACAACAAATTTATTTACCAAGAGCAAATCATATAAATGTGCTATTTGTCTGTCACCCAGCCCTCGCCTGAACGCAACAAAATCCGCTGCTGCCGAATATACCTCTGAATTACACACATATACGTACATACACATAAATACACACATATTTGGAGAATCCTGCAATGTACAACAATTGAACGATAACAGTCATGGATACAAATGATTTTGCCTATGAACATTACGGTATATTAGTTCAAAATGATGAAGAATTGCCCAAATCCCTAAATGTTCAAAACCTAAGTAATGGTAAATGAAAAACATATATATTATAAATAATAATTATATAGCGAT